CTTCCTAATGAGAATGGGGTGAGAGACAGTATCAAAAGCCTTCCTGAAATCTAGGAAAACTATATCCACTGCCACCCCTGCATCCAATGATTTAGTGACCTGGTCGTAAAAGGCCACCAGGTTGGTCTGACAGGACCTGCCGCTGATGAGCCTGTGCTGGTTGCCCCTGAGCATGCAGCTTCCTGCTGGCCCCTCTTCTTGACCTGCTGCTCACAAACCGGGATGAATTGGTGGGGAATGTAGTATAGTGGATGGTAACTGAGGCAGCAGTGACAACGAGATGATTGAGTTCAGGAGCTGGAGGAAAGGAAGGATGGATAGCGAACTTCAGAAAAGCAGACTTGGACTCGCTCACGGAACTCATGGGCAGGATGCTCTGGGAAACCAGTCTGATGGGGAGAGGAGTCCAGGAGAGCTAGCTGCACTGTAAAGAAGCCTTAATGAGAGTGCAGGAACAAACCATCCTGATGTTCAGGAAGACTAGCAAGTATGGCAGAAGTCCAGCTTGGCTTAGCAGGGAACTCTTCAGTAAATTAAATTACAAAAAGGAAGCTTATAAGAAGTGGAAACTTAGACAAATAACTAGGGAAGAAAATAAGAGCACTGTTCAGGCATGGAGGGTTGAAGTCAGAAAACCAAAGCGCAATTGGAGTTACAGTTAGCAAGGGATGGGAAAGGTAACAAGAAGATTTTCTACAAGTACGTCGGTAGTGAGAGGAGGATCAGGGATAGTGTGGGTCCCTTACTGAAGGCAACCTAGATGATGCAGAAAAGGCTGAAGTGCTGAGTGCCTGTTTCACTTCAGTCTTCACAAGTAAGGTCAGCTCCCAGACTACCACACTGGGCAGCACAGATTGGGGAGGAGGTGAGCAACCAAACAGTGGCACAAGGAAAAGTCAGGGACTATTTTGAAAAGCTGAACTTAAACAAATCCATGGGGCCAGCTGGGATGCACCTGCAGGTGCTGAGGGAGTTGGCTGATGTAATTGCAGAGTCACTGGTCATCATCTTTGAAAACTCATGGTGATCAGGAGAGGTCCTGGATGATTGGGAAAGGGCAAATATAGTGTCTATCTTTAAGAAGGGGAAAAAGGAGGATACAGGGAACTACAGACCAGTCAGCCTCACCTCAGTCCCTCGAAAAATAATGGGGCAGATCCTCAAGGAATCCATTTGTAAGCACTTGGAGGAGAAGAAGGTGATTAGGAACAGTCTGCATGGATTCATCAGGGGCAAAGTCATGCCTGACTAACCTGATTGCCTTCTATGATGAGGTGACTGGCTCTGTGGATGCAGGGAGACCAGTAGATGTGGTATATCTTGATTTTAGCAAGGCTTTTCATATGGTCCCCCACAACATTCTCACAGGCAAGCTAAGGAAGTGTGAGTTGGATGAATGGGCTGTAAGGTGGACAGAAAACTGGCTGGAGCATCGGGTTCAGAGGGTAATAATCGATGGCTTGATGCCTGGTTGGCAGCCGGTATCAAGTGGAGTCCCCCAGGGGTCAGTCCTGGGGCTGGTTTTGTTGAATGTCTTCATCATCGACCTGGAAGATGGGATGGAGTGCACTCTCAACAAGTTTGCAGGTGACACCAAGCTGGGGGGAGTAGTAGGTGCACTGGAGGGTAGGGTTGGGATTCAGAGTGACCTAGACAAACTGGAGGATTGGGCAAAAATAAATCTCATGAGGTTCAACAAGGACAAGCACAAAGTCCTGCACTTAGGATGGAACAATTCCATGCACCAGTAGAGGCTGGGGGCTGACTGGCTGGGCAGCAGCTCTGCAGAAAAGGACCTGGGGGTTACAATGGACAATAAGCTGAATATGAGCCAGCAGTGTGCCCTTGTTGCCAAGAAGGCTAATGCCCTACTGGGCTGCATTGGTAGGTGTGTTGCCAGTAGGTCAAAGGAAGTGATTATTCCCCTCTATTCAGCACTGGTGAGGCCACATCTGGAGTACTGTGTCCAGTTTTGGGCCCCCCACTACAGAAAGGATGTGGACAAATTGGAGCACGTTCATCAGAAGGCAACAAAAATGGTTTGGGGGCTGAAGCAAATGACTTATGAGGAGAGACTGAGGGAACTGGGCTTATTTAGTCTAGATAAGAGAAGACAGAAGAGATTTAATAGCAGCCTTCAACTCCCTGAAGAGGGGCTCCAAAGAGGATGGAGCTAGACTGTTCTCAGTGGTGGCAGATGACAGAACAAGGAGCAATGGCCTCAAGTCACAGCACGGGAAGTTTAAGTTAGATATTAGGTATTAGGAGATAACTTTTTAAAAATCAGTTTACGTTATAGAACAGAAAAAACACAAGTATACCTATTTGTACATATTTTTAAACTCCCTAATAACATCCAGAATATTAAACAGTACTTCATAGTTTATCATCCTCATGTTCTTTATTGATAAGCAACATTTTAAACATTTTTATTTAATTTTTTTCTTATTCTCTTTCTCATAATAAGCTGAATGCTATATTTGAGTTATGTTTGTGTAGAGACAGAATAATGCAGTCAGCATAAACCATCTAAAA